GAGCAGCACACCTGCCTGTGAGCAGGAAGAGCAGATTCACCTTCCCCTGTAAAACCAGCTGCAGCTGGGGCCTCGTGGATGTGACATATCAAATGGTCTTTTGCTTTTATTTCTGTTTTTCAGGTGCTGGTTCTGTTTGGTAGAGCAGTGAATATATTTCCACTTTCCTACCTACTCAACTTTTTCCGTGACCATAAAATCACACCCAAAATGATGTTTATCATGTGGTTTAGTGGTAAGTTAAAGCTCAAAATACTGAGAACCAGAAAAAATGTTTTATCTTTTCCATTGTGTGGCCCAGTCTAGGAGGAACTGGTTTTTCATTGGTGGAGCAAAACTCAACTGAACATTTGCACTGCTCTGAAACCCAAGTGCAGAGAAATGTCCTCTTTCCCCTTTGTGCTGGAGGACTTGGCTCTGGTGAGCCCCACGAGAGCTTTTCTGTGTAGAGGCCCAACAGCTGCACAGTTTGAGCTGCAGTGTCTGAAATGCTCAGGCTTGTGTTAGGGTGGTAGCCAAGTGCTGGATAATGGCCACAGCGTTATAAAACACCTATGAGGGTGGAGATTCCCGTGGAGTTCTGTGGGTGCTCAGTGCTCTGTTCCTGGCTGACTGCCCTGTTGTCTCCCCTAGGATTACGTGGGGCCATTCCCTATGCCCTGAGCCTCCACCTGGGCCTGGAGCCCATGGAGAAGCGACAGCTCATTGGCACCACCACCATCATCATCGTGCTGTTCACCATCCTGCTGCTGGGCGGGGGCACCATGCCCCTCATCAGGCTCGTGGACATCGAGGACTCCAAACCACGCAAGAGGAGCAAGAAGGATGTCAACCTCAGCAAGACAGAGAAGATGGTTTGTGTGGGGTTTTCATTCACAGGATCACTGGGGTTTGGTGGGGTTTTTCTTCTTCAGTTTAAACATTTTTCATGACTAGTACGTGATCTTTTGTTAAAAAGTAAAATGAAGGCAGTAAAAAAAGCCATGGTAGTAGGACAAAGCCAAGCAATATAATTTTAAAGTATCCCAAAGACAGAGTTTGGTAAGTGTTTATACAAAATATGTGTTTGGACAAGGGGAGGAGAAATAGTCCTTTAATTCAATCCAATTACAAGTTGATCTATGTGAATTAAAGTAACCCTTGGGAAAGCATAAAGCAGATGATAGAGGATTGAGTCACATACAGAGAGAAAGTAGTTGGTACAGTGTGAGATGGAAATTAATCATAAAAGGCAGATGGAAATTACTTTGAAAAATTCAAAGGCCATGAGAAGGTGGCAACAATAGCCCCCCTCTGACTGGAGTTTATTTTAAAACAATTTCTGGCAAAGCAAGAGATCTGACAAAGCCAAAAGCTGCTCTGGGACCTCTTGTGCAAAAGACGTGAGAATAAAAACTATCACAGGACATTTTTTGCCTGTTTTTCTCGAAACTATTGAAGAGTATTTGCAGGGTATTGTCCTGGAGGAGCTTAAAAATATTTTCTCTTTGCATGAGGCTGATTGTAGTCTGTAGAATTACCTTGCACTGCCCACACAAGGAAGTGCAGGAAGAGTGCAGGGACAGGGCTCGTTTTCAGTGAGACAATGACAGCAGTGGTACTTGCTGGATGAGCATTGTGCAGCTCACAAGAGAAAATCTGCACAGTAGAAACCTGTTCTCAGCAATAGTGGCAGCACAAAACATGGAACATTTGAGGTCTTTTCCTTTTCAGCATGGAAAGGGAGGCCAAGTGGCCTCTGTAATTCAATGGCTGAACAGACTCATGCAGCCCTAAGCCCTGCAAGGCTGGCATGGGATCATTTCCATATTGCTCCAACAGGGCATAAGGGAGAGCACAGAGCAGGGGCTGATCAGGGTGGTGGCATGACCGCCACTTCTCTTGGGTAATTCCAGTATTTGTGATTTTTCTAGGGAAACACCATAGAATCCGAGCATTTATCAGAGCTCACAGAGGAGGAATATGAAGCCCAGTACATAAAAAGGCAGAACCTCAAAGGGTTCATGCGGCTCGATGTCGAGTACTTGAATCCTTTCTTCACCAGAAGACTCACACAAGAGGTAAGTCTTCGTTGTTTTCTTGAAGAAGAGAAACTGGTGGAGTTAGTGTTGTCCTCGGTACCACACAGGGCTCAGGGTGCAGCCACTTGTGTGGGGACAGTGGGACATCTGTGTATTGCTCATGCACAGAGAGAGCAGCTGTAATGAACAGCTGCTCTGGAAGTTGGATTACATGAGCATCTCAGAGCTACCCCAGTTAAACTTGGTGTAAGGATTTGCTGAACTCGCCTTTAATGGTGCAGAGACCCATGAAGGGTGTCAGGAGTCACTGGCTGCTGCTGCTGGAAAAAGCTGCTGCCACTCAGGCAGAGTTTGTGAAGTGCTGTCACACACAGTTGCTGCCTCTTGCTGTCAGTGGTGCTGTGACTTCTGGAGCTGTGATGTTGCTGCAGAGTGCAGTTTCTGTCTTGGAAATGGGCACCAGCATTTCACCCTTCACTTTCCAGAGACAAAAGCTCTGAGACTATAAATGCAAAACAACATCTGACAGTAACTTAGCACTGAGTGGCCCCAAGGTGTAAATACTGTGCCTTTTTCACTCCCATGCTTCAGAAATCTGAGGCTCCTTAGCCACAGAATTCACTATTTTTCAAATTTCCCATGGAAGCATTTTGGCTGTGCAGTTCATAATTTTGTATAAGTGCACATTCCATCTTCCTCGCCTGCTCAAAAATACTGTTTTTCCTCTTGTTTTGTACTTTTCAAAAGTACAGTTTCAGCACTTTCCTACAAAAACTAAAGTCATTTATTGCAAAACCAGAAACAAATCAAGAAACCAAAGCAAGCATCTGATTCGTAGTTGGTAGCCAAAAGCACAGGCTGCCATCCAGATTGTAACCAAAGGCTGGAAAAATAAGCATGTGAATCACTAGGGCAGGCCACAAGCCTCCCAGTGTCCCTGGGAACACGAGGACAGTCAAAGCCAGGCCCTGCAGACAGCATTGAGATTGTTGAAACACACAGAGCAGGACTGTCTAGAGAACACAGGTAAAAACACCCATCATCCAAACTCATCTGCAGCAGTAATTACTGACTGAGCACCCGGTGAGTATTTTCTGCTGGGAAACAGAACGGCTGTGTGTGCTCAGAGAGCAGGAGCAAAGATTTCCTGAGGAGTGTGTGCAGGGCCACCCCTGCTGTGCCCTGGCTCTGGGGGGGTGCTGCAGCAGGTACCAGGGTGCTGTGCCCTGGCTCTGGGGGGTGTGCTGCAGCAGGTACCAGTGGTTCTGTTTGCCCCTGGCAGGACCTGCACGATGGGCGCATCCAGATGAAGACCCTGACCAACAAGTGGTACGAGGAGGTTCGCCAGGGCCCCTCGGGCTCTGAGGATGATGAGCAGGAGCTGCTGCAGCAGAGCGGGGCCGGTGCACGCTGAGCTCTGACCTCCCACACTGCAGACATGGCCCCTGCTCCTTGTTCAGGTGAAACCACAGCTCTGCTGGGACTGTTCAGGAAGGGAAACCCACGAGGGTCAGATGCTGCGTGGGCTGAAGGAAGAGGCTTTTGTTCAGACTTGACTGCATAGCAAATTCCACACAGCCCGTTGAAAAGCAGAACCACCTGCCGTGAAATGATGACATTGGTAATGGGGGACTTCCCATCCCAAAACCTGCTGTGACCACACGCTGCAGTACAGGGCCCTTGTGTGGCTCTGCAGAACAGAACGAATTGCACTTTACCTTTTATATATATATATATATATATATATATATATTCATTCACAGCATGAAGAGTTTTGACAGTTTATACTGTGAATTTGTTTCAGCACTAGTAAGGGAATCTGACTGGAAGAAATGTATAATTTATGGAATTTGCACATTTTGAACCCAGAAAAGATGCATACCTTGTCAAGAGCAGATATTGCACATACAGGGAATCACCTCTGAAAATGTAGTTTTGTCACTTAAGAAATTCTTGATTTCTGTTTTATGGGATTTTTTGGTTTTAATACTAAGGGATCTAATCCACAGTACTGATTATAGCATGGTTTTGGGGAAGTGGGGCCCTGTGACAGCACAGAACTGTGTTTGAAATTGTAGAATCTTTTCTTTGGCTAAAGCCAGTTGCAGTTAGGTCTCTGTAATTGGCAGTTGCTCCTTGCTGGCACTTTGGCTTCAAATCTTAGCAAAGAGCAGCTTCTGTTTTGCCTAATTTATGAAGTGTCCCTAACACTCCAGAATTCACCAGTGGAACTTTTAAGCTTCAGTGGAAGCAAAAGCAGCATGTACATGAGGAAAAAGAGCCTAGGAAGTCTAATCCAGGTACAGAAAGATTAATATTGCACGTGGCTGAAGCAGCCTCTGCTGGGAAGTGCCAAACAGCTTCCATTAAGCTGTCCCATTTTTCTCTTCTGCTTACACTGTCTCAGAATCTGTGGTATCACTGCATTTGTTCTCCATGGCCCAGTGTTTGCTCAGCGTTGCCAACACCTGAACGTGTTTGTTGCACATTTGCCATGGTGACACATGCAGCAGTTTGCTCCCACTGCCAAATTCCTCCTTGGCCATTTGCATATCCACTGCCAGGATGTGAATTGCAGTTCAGCACCCAGATCTGACATTCAAATGCACATGTTTCTGAAGATGTGAGACTTAGTTTTGGTCTGGTTTTGCTACTGAGTTTTTTAATCCACTGCTTACCTACTGAGAGAATAAAAGTTCAAGAATGTATTTGGAGTCCTGAACCTGTTGTCTGAGCAGCTTTTCAAAATACCACATCTTGTCCCTTGCTTGCTTGATCCATGGGAGGATGAGTGTGAAAATCAGCCTTTTTGTCACCCTCCTAGACCCCAGCAGACGGAATGAAACTCCAGTTACCCATCCCTGTTACTCATTTCTCACCTTTACACCCGCGAGCTGCTGGAAGGTCCCTGAGAGCTCCTCGGGTGTTCAGCGTTGGAGCTGCTGCTGCACCGGGGGTGGCACAAAGCCCCAGTCCCGCTCACGTACCCGAGGGCCGCAGTTCCCCGGGGTTCCCGGTGATTCCCGGCTGTTCTCCGTCACTCCCCGTGATTCCACGCGGTTCCTCGCGGCAATTCCCGGTGATTCCCGGTCGTTCCCGGCAATTCCTAGCAGTTCCTGGCCGTTCCCGGTGACTCCCGGCAGTTTCCGGTGATTCCCGGTCACTCCCGGTAATTCCCGTTAGTTCCCGGTCACTCCCGGCCGTTCCCGGTCCCCCCGCACCTGCCGCCAGGTGCGCTGTTCTTTGCCGCCCTCTGGCGGCGGCACCGCGGCAGTTCAGGGAGGGAATCGCCCTGCAGCGATTCCGGTGAAAACTCTGGGGATTTTTGCATTTAAAACAAACTACTCTAAAACCTAAAGTAATACCACGTTTGTAAAAACTCGGAATTAAGTTTGTATTCTGAGAGAGCAAAGCTAACTCCCTTGTTTTTTGGAGCCGAAATAAGTTTTTACCACAGTGCCCAATGCTCACATTCACTTATCAATACAATGGCTTTTCTCTCAGTCATTTCACAGTTCCGAGTTCTTCACTTAATATGCTTAGAAAAGAAATATTCTTGTTTATTGATTTGCCTGGCAATTACTTCAGTTAGGCTGGTCCTGCTCCCAGCCCTGCCCCTGGACAGCCGCAGGACAAGAGCTGAGAGCCCCAGCTGGAAGCATTTTTACCTCCAATTAACCACCACAGGCAGAAGGAATTAAATCATTTAAGGCAATGAAGCTGGAGCAATGGGTGGTGGGAGAGCTATTTAAAAAGCAACTGCACTAAAATATCACCAAGCTCGCACAACTCTGAGATAATATTTCACTTTGCCTCAAACTACACATTAACCGCCATAGCTCAGAACCACTGTAAGAAATTCCTGCTATATTTGATTTTCCCATTCATTTATGATTTTGCTGACTTTCCTTGACAGCCACCTTTTTCCCCATTTTCCCTATGCCAGACTGTGTCCCTGCCACCTTGGAATTGTAGCTGTGCCCTCAGACTCCCGAGTGAGCCAGCACAGGGTGGGAAATGCAGCACCCATAGTGCAACCCCTGGGAACCAAACCCACCCCAAGGCAGCCCTGGCTCCTCTCCTGCTCCAGGGCCAGGCTCTCACTGAGCAGCAATGCAGCATTGCAGCAATGCAGCCCCAGCTCCCTTCCCACCTGCTGCAGCATGATCAAATCCAAAGAAATTGGTTCTTGCAATCGGGAACCCCCTTCCAAACCCTGCTGGCCTCAGCTCTGAGGGTGAAGCCTCCACCCTCTGCTCAGCCCACCTGCAGCACCAGGGGAGCTGCCCTGGAGGGAGGGCCTTGTATTTCATCCTCAGGTCATTGGTGGCAGCTGTGGGCACCATTCCCAGCTGGGGACAGGGCTGCATTGGCCCCAGCTGTGCTGTGCCCCAGGGCATGGACCCAGCCTGGCACAGAGGAGTCCCCAGGCAGTGCCAGACCCTGGGCAGTGGAGTTCGTTGGGCTGCTTGGGGTTTGCTGGGTGGCTGCAGCACAGGAGGGTGTGCAGGGCCTGCAGCAACACCCTGTCCTTGCACAGGAACTGCTGGAAGCTGGGCTCGAGGAGCAGGAACACCAGCGGGTTGTGGAGCATCGAGGACTGGGCAGGGACAGCCGAGAGCACAAAGGGCAGCGCTGGCACCTGGCTGGCAACCCCATGCACACAGCAAGGCTCAGCTGGAAAAGGAGCAGATGGAGATGGAGATGCCCTCAGCCTCCTGCAGCACTCAGGGGACGCTGACACCCCCCAGACTCAGCCACAGGCAGCAGGGCCCTGAGCAGCCCTCCCGTCCCCAGGGAAAGGTGCTCAGCCTGCTGCAGCTGTACTGCAATGTCAGAGAGCAGGGCAGCAGCTCAGCACACCCCAGGATAGACCTGCTCCAGCTTCAGGCCACTCACACCCTGTCCCACCTGGGAGACTCAGCAACAGCCCCAGCCTGCTGTGGCAGAGGGGTACAAAGGACCCAGTGACCTGGCTGGGACCAGCTCAGCTTTTGGCAGCACTGGAAATCCCTCCAGCAACCTGTGTGGCCTGGGAGGCCTGGCAATGGGCTGTGCTCAGTGCCCCTCTTCTGACTGGATGTGGATGTTTCCTTTGAAGCCAGGCTTGCAAGCTGTTTTCTTTCGTGCTGTATTTTTTAAAGGTTATTCAGGGTTTTTTACATATCCTTGGTAAATTATAGTATTAGCTTGTAGTCTGGGGAACAATGACTCATGCAAGCTCCTTTATGATCTTTTCCAATGTAATTTAAAATGAAAACTCCTCCACCTGATGGCTCTAAATGAGGAGCAATGTGTTGTTACCCACAGTGACACAAAGGCCTGGAGAGTTCATCAGGAACAGCGGATGCCAGGCACAGTGAAGCTCTTGGGGAAATATTTTGTTTTCATTTTTGTTCCAACCCACATCAAATCTCAAACTCTCTGATCTTCTAAGACTCACTGAAAAGTGCTAAATCTTCAGACATACATACAAGTAACATTTTGCTTTGAAACTAAGCAACTAAAAGCACAATTTGATTCTGCATTTCCTCACAGAAGATGGGCTGGGCTGTAGACAAGCCTCAAGTGCCAGGCTGCCAAGCACTGGCTGATCAAGAGCAGAGGCTGTGCAGGAAAAGCCACTGTCACCTGGGCTGCCTTTCCACAGCCAACTCACATCTTCATCTTCCCTCCCACCTTCTCAGCCACCTCCTGAGCTGTTGTGCTGGCACATAACCAAGGTGACTTTGTCCTTGAGGCACTGGGAGCTGCTGGGGACAGGCTGGTGGCTGGCAGCAGCCACTGGCTCGGAGCACACGGGCAGTGAGTCAGGGCAGAGGGGGATAGGAGGGGCCCTGGGGTGCTGGTCTGCAAAACAAACTGATAAGTATGATTTCCCATTTTGTTTCTATTTTTTCTCTTTAATGCAAAGTCTATTCTGAAGATAAATGCTAGAGGGAGGATTAGCAGCCGAGCTGAGGAAATGAAGAACTCTGAGCTGGAGAAAGAGCTGTGTAAGGAGCATCCATGGGCTCCCTCACCTCCTCACGTGCTCTCTGCAGTGCAATCATTCACCTTAGCTCAGAGGAGCAATGCAGGTGAAAACAGGGCTACAGACATGAGCTGCAACACTGCAAACCCAGCCCTCCTGTATTAATTATTTCAGCAAATTAAATACATTTAGCCTATGGCTCTCCCACCAGGGACCAGGGAAAGCAGCTCTTGCTGCTCTGTCAGGGCTTGTGGCTTCCCAGCTACAGTCTGCTCTGAGCTTGGACATCCAAAAACCTGCAATCTGCTGTGGTACAGCCACACAGATGTGGCACCTGGGAACATGGTTTAGGGCTGGACTTGGAAGCGCTGTGGTAACAGCTGGACTCAATGATCCCAAAGATGTTTTCCAGCCTAAACTTGTTGCCGTGATTCTGTGACTCTCAATATTGACTGGGAATAGGTTACGGTGGGGCAGAGCTTTCCCCGAGGAGCTGGACCTGGCTCATTAAAAGAAAAAGGGCTGTGATAACAGAGAGGGGTGTGAGTGAGGATCAGGTAACACATCCCAGCACGTACCTGCCGGGTAAGAGCACACCGTGCTGAGCACCGTCAGGCTGCCCAGGCTGCCCTGCCCGAACAGGAGCCTGCAGAAGGCACAGAGGGTGCACAGAGCCTGGTTAAAGAGCCACCTGCAAGGAGAGCCTGCAGGTGAGCCCGTCCTTCCCCCAGGGCTCATAGCCCTGTCCCTTGTCCTTCCCCCAGGGCTCACAGACCTGTCCCTTGTCCTTCCCCAGGGCTCACAGCCCTGTCCCTTGTCCTTCCCCAGGGCTCACATCTCTGCCCCTCAGCTGGACTCGAGGCTTCTCCTTTGTGGGAATTTCCCAGCAATGGGATTCCTGCAGCAGAGCTGGGCACACGTGGGGAGGTTCCAATGGGCTGCACAGGTACCAGCACCTGGCCAAGGAAATATGGGCATGGCCTTGCCCCTGATGTGTTGCCTGAGCACCCCAAAGGTGCACACGGGTGGAGCTGGGGTGCAGGAGCTGCCCTGACCCACAGCAGCTCCCACCACTGCAGCACCAGCTTGGACACCCTCCCCCAAAGCCCTTCGGCAGGGGCCGTGTGAGGAGCTGGAGGGACAGGGAGCAGCAAACGCCACTCTGGGATGGCTGGCTGGGAGCTTCCACGTGTCCCCGTGCCACCAGGCTGTCCCCAAGCCCTCTGTGCCTGCCAGAGATCTCCTGGCTCCCAGTTTGCACACTGGGCCAGTGCAGAGCTGCTCCCCTGAGGTACCTGTGTGCAAAGGAGGAGGAGGTGGCCGAGGGGAAGAGTGTCACCGTGGTGCCCAGGTCACTGATGCCAGGCTGACGATGAAGAACTCGGCAGGTTTCAGCAGGAAACTCTTCTGATGGGCCAGCAGCAGCAGCAGCGAGCTCCCAGCCAGGGACATGGTGCCTGTGGAGGAGGGACAGAGGGGAGCTGCGTGTGACAGAGGCAGCAAAGGAGCCAGGAGCATCCGGAGATGTGAAGGGAACACTGCACAAAGCTGCAGAGGGTGAAGAGGTCTGCAGGCTTCCCCCTCTGGGGTGGGCTGAGCAGGGGAGCCCAGGGCACCCACAGAGCTCTGTGAGCACCTCTGGAGCTGCTTTGCAGTGGATCAGCTCCCTTCCCCCTGCTGAGATCCCACAGCTTGGTAGGAGGGCAAAGATGGGGTGAGACTACAACAGGCTCTGGGTGCAGAGTCTGGCCAAAGTCACTCCTAGCAGCTGGAAGGAGCAAGGGGACACTTCCTCCCAGCTAGAAAAATAACAGGAGCTGTGTGTGACTGCTCCTCTGATGTGAGGCCAGGGAGCTGGGCCCCTTGGCCTTCCTAATTTCTTCCTGGCAATGTCACTCCTGTGAGTCTGCACTGTCCCAGATCTTGGTAACAAAATGAACCAAAAAAAAGGCATTATAAAGATCAAGGAAAATCCAGACTAAACAAAAGAAGGCTCTTTGTTTGCTATTAATGTATTTAAATCAACAGTGGTGATTAAAGTTTTATAACAAGGGCTTTCTCTTTTTCATTACATAATTGTGATTTCATGGAAAAGAGGTTTCAGTGTCCTCAGGAGAATCTTTGCTCCTCTTGGGGCAGGTTGGGCAGGATTAGACTTCCTCCCTAATGGATTAGGCTGCAAATTAATCTCATGGTAAGAATCAGCTTCCAAAGCCACTGAATGGCCAACATTAAGCTTCCCTCAGGAACAGGATTCCCACGTGGGATCTGGCCAAATCCAGAGCTCTGGAGGCTTTGGAGTCACTGGAGAGCAGAGTTTTGAGATGTTTATCCTTCTTCCCAGCCTCACAAGGCGTTTTTCCCACAGAGTGAGTCTCACATCTGTGCTAAGTACATTTTATTGGCTTTACCAACTCCTGCTGAAATCAAGGGCCAGCTTGAGCTCCAAACCCCCCTCAATGGACCTGAAGCTGGTGGTACCAACAGAACCCTTGTCTGTCTCACCTCAGGTGGCTGTGGTAGGAGTTACAGCATGTTCCTCAAAGTTATTCAACTTTTCAAATATTTAAAATCATAATAGGCACTTACAATTCACCTGAGAGGGGAATGATCAGATCATACTTTAGAATAACATGGGAAGGGTCAGTTTAATTATTCTGCCAATGACTGGACACTTCTGGAAGCATCAGTGACTGAAAAGGCCTGACTCTCTGGCAGGGACACGGGGACCAACAGGGAATCTTTCCTTACCAAAGACAGAATAGAGAGTGCCAAAAATCAGGTCTTGTCTCTCCAATAGGGCAGAGGTGAACACTGAGGTCTTGGACACATTCCCCATCTGCAAAGCAAGATACAATGGAAGTGAGAGTGGATTAATGGGAGTGAGAGTGGATTCTGGCTAAGGAGGAGTGCCCAGCTCCTCCAGGTCCCCAGAGGACACAGGGACACATTCCTGGCCAGCAGCATCCTCCAGCCAGCCCTGCCTGCAGCACTGAGCAGCCTGGGATGGCATCAGGCTGGTGATCCCACTTGATTATCATTCCTGGTGATCCCACTTGATTATCATTCCTTCAGCCACAGATTTCGCTGATGAGCATCAGCCTTTGCATGTCCAGTCTCTTGGCAAGCCCTGGCCTTGTGTGGCTGCAGCAGGTGCTGCATGTTTGGACACAGGGACTGACTGCCTGGAGCAGCCCCAGGGTGATGGGATCCCCAGGACACCCCAAAGCTGGCAGCCCCTCCACAGAACACCCTGGGTGCTCAGTGCTTCACAGCCCAATGGAAATTTTCTTCTTTACTCTCCTGTGCTTCTCAGAGTGTCTGTGTACAGGGACAGGTGATTTAAATCTCCCTGTACAGACCAAGTGACTCTGGACATGAGAACGATGTTCTTCATTAACCTCATTGGGAACAACCTTCATTTGCTGAGCACATCCTGGATTTCTCATAATGCACAGTTCTCCCCTAGGCCATATTTGTTCTTCCTCAAGAGCCCTTGGAAGTGGCCAAGCTGAACACAGCTCATGCACATCAGCTCTCCAAGAGGCTTTGGAAAAGCATCTGTGTATTCAGAACAGAGCCAGGGGAAAAGGAGGGACTGTGTTCACACAGCTGCACTGGAGATGAGAAAGGGCAAGGCTCAGCACAAACAGTCTGGAAGGAATTGTTCCTGCTCCTCAGCACACATGCAGCAAAGGAGACAACTGGCAAAGCCTGGAGGATTTGATTTCCTTCAGATCCCTGGCAGGTCTCCATCCTGCAGTACAGCAGGGGAGCTGCAAGTGTCCTGTGAGATCAAGCTGGCAAAAAGGACCAACAATCACAGGGAAGGAATTTCTATTTCTGACATGTTACTTAGGATAAACCCTATTTTTATGCTTGTGCTTGAGCTGTCTGTAAAGCAGACATCTCTTATTCCAACACAGAACTGATGAAAATGCATCTCTTGCACTGATCAATGTGCTGATGTCACGGACACACAGATGATAAATCAGTTTTATAGAAATATGGAGAGCTATCCCTTTTGTGTCCAACAGTAAATCATAAATTGGATCCTCCCATCAAGGTGCTCCCTCAGATGAGTGTGGGATGGGGGATGCCTGCACAGGCCTCCTCTCTGCTCTCACCTCTAGTGGAGAGTCACAGACTGCTGAAATATCAGTGCAGGTACCAAACACATCCACAGCCATTTCTGATAGAAACAGCCACAGGAGTTTTCTTCTAACTCAGAAATATCCCAAACATATGGCTGTGCTCAACCAAGGCTAAATCTGTGACTCCTCTGGGAGGGATTCAGCCCAGCCTGTCCTCGGGGTACAGCCAGCACAGCACAGCCCTTCAACATCAAACTGCTCAGCCACGTCGTCCCTGGGCACGCAGAGCTGAGAATTTGATTTAAACTCCATTGCTCAGACGCTGTTCTGAGAAGAGACAGACTCTGAAAGCTCCTTTCCCCTCAATTTAATCAGACTTCAAAACGAGATGAAGTTTTCCAAGCAGCTGCTGCCACAGGTACATTATAAGGAAAGCCTTGTACTCTGCATCCCAGACCTTAATCCTGCACTCACAGCAAGGATCAAACCTAAACCCAAAGCTACATCCTGTGTCTGGCACCTGGGAGGACACTGGCATGGCTGGATCACCTGCACTCTGTCTACATGAAAAATCATTATTTCATTTTGTGTGATTGTCAGCTTTGCCCTTTTCTCCTCCTGACTTGAACAGCTGCTTTTCTACAAACGTGCCACAAAGCCAGAGTCTCCCTTGGAGAGAAGGAAGAAACCTGATGAGCCTGGAAACTCTCCTGACCTCCAGGCTCTCTCAATAGTCAACGGCAGGAATCAATTTCTGCAATTTCCAGCACCGGAGAAGCTCAGACACTGTTACCTACCCAGCAAGGAGTGCAGGCTTTAGAGAGGCACAGAAAAGCACAGAGCTGAGAAGTGCTCAGGATCTGAGGGATAGAGCAGTGTGAGGACAGGCAGCCCTCGCACCCCTACCCGAAATCGCAGAGTTCTCCTGTGCCAGGGCTGCCTGTCCCCACTGTCAGAGACCGGAAAATTTGCTTTCTGCCAGAAAATCTGCTTTCTGCTTCCCCACCCGGGACTCCTGCAAGTCCCTTGACGGGAGCTCAGCCCTGCTCACACCCCAAAGAATGTCTGTCACTCACTCACTCACTCGGGCCGGGGGTGCTGGGGGCTCCGCGTCCCTCCGGGGCAGCGCCTCAGCTTTCCCGGAGGAGCCCCCGGGACAGGAACTCACCGGGGCTCCGCTGTTCCGCCACTGGCTCAGCACCGCCGGCGACGGACAGCTCCGCTGGGCACCGC